TCTGTTAGACACATTATCAAAATTGCTAAGAGCTCTCACAAAAGCCTGAGGTCCTTCTCTCCAATTTCAGAGGCATTTCAAAGTCTATAATAGTAAAGAGTATTTCTTCTAGGGGGAAAATTGTTTTTCTTAGTGGCAGGGTGAAGGGATAAACCAGCATGAAGAAATTTTAAAATGTTATTCTCCTCAGGTTACTGGATATTGGAATTTAACTTTAGAATCTTTTTTGAAAAGCCAGCTCTCTTACTATCATTTTTTCTTTTGGTACCGGGGATCAAACTTGGGACCTTGCGCTTTCAAGGCAGGCACTGGAAACACTGAGCTAAACCCCCGGCCCTCTTACTATCATTTAAAAAAAGTTCCTTCTATAATATATTAAAGGCAGATCCAAGATGGGTTTGGGTATGGTTTTTAACTCATCGTGGTGGCAGGCAGTAGTCTCAGTGCCAGAATAAATACCCTATAGTACAACTTCAACTAAAAAACTTACGTTTTTCATCAGAGCCAAGCTGCGGGGACCTCTTTTGAGGAAACTGGCTGAAAAACCTCTCCCCTACTCACCTCAAAATTTACTGTTTGATATTCGGACGCTCATTTTGAAAATAATAAACTTGGGTGACAAGCCATTTCAAATCCACTGGTAGTTAATAACTAAGAGAAGAAAAAAGCTAGTGAGGTGGGGTGAAGGTCACTGCTAATAGCTGTGGGGATAAGGAATGAGAATGACAGGAACAACAGTTTTCAGATTTAGCTACTAAGTTTTGCCACCTCAAAGATGGACCTCACTATTGTGTCTCCTAACTCCAGAAGGTCTGACTGCCCTTAGGCTTTGTGTATCTGAAAATGCAGCCACTAACATTAATAACAGACGAAAACCAGCCCCTGCAGGCAAATCATCAAGATGCCTGGGGAAAACAGAAAAGGAAAAAGAAAAAAACAACAACATGAAGTGTAGGGTGCTTCTCCCCAACATTTCGGAGGAGATGGGAGTTGGAAACCTCAAACAAAACGTTGGCCCAAACTCACTTGACTAATTTTAGTTACCTTGGTTCATGGCTGTGATTCATCCCTAAAGCTGTGAATTGCTGAGGAGGAAGGAGGAAAAAATTGACTTAAATGTCAAAGAAGTAGGAGCATAAATATAGTTTTCTTTTTTGAGGAACTAGAATTCCAGGATATGGGTATCTTTTTTTCGCACTGGGGACTGAATGCTTCAACCTTCTAGAAAAATAATGATCTCTAGTCAAAACATCATCAAGGAATACAAGACAGAATTGATTATGAGTCACGTCATGTCTGAATTTTTGCCACCTTTTCTCTTTGTGTATTTCATTAAACCTAATTAAACCAGAAATCATTAATAATCCTATGTGGTTGAGTGATGGAAGATTAAATATATGAGATATGATCAACATATATTATTAACGTTTAAATACAAAGTTTATTACAGTAAAGACACATTGTCATTAATCCTCCCTCAGAATGGTTTCCCTCACTTCAAACATACTTATTCCATCCTTCTTGCCACCTTTTGAAGCAGTCCTGGAGTCCTCTTTATGTCTTTACAAGGTGTGATAAAAAATAGGGTGAATATCGATGCCGAGTGTCACCCAACAGAAAGGGAGGCTGTAAAAAGATGACGGCTGTGTCTCATCCACCTTATTCACTGGATCTGGCACCGTGTGACTCCTGGCTCTTCTCCAAAGTCAAAGTGATCATGAAAGGGAAACATTTTGAATTGATTCAGGACATCAAGGCAGCCAGGACAGCACAATGGAAGATACTCAGGAAAGAGGACTCCAGAACTGCTGCAGAAAGTGGCAAGAACAAAGGGTCATGCATGTTTGAAGCAAGGGGAACTATTTTGAGGGGGATTCGTGGCAATATGTCTTGTAGTATAATAATATTTTTTTAACAAATTTAAACATTCACTATAGTTCTCAATCGCATCTTTTAGATTGCACCAATACATGAAACTCATAAAATAGGTGAAGGAGAGATGAATGGAGCTAAATGGAATCATGAGAAATAATTGAGACAGTCACACAGGGAAGGGAGACTTGTTTGAATGGTGGTCAGATGTATTCATGCCCGCTACAGAATAGACCACAATAGAGACAGTTTAATGAAACTCTGTTCTAAGTAAAGAAAAATCTTTTCCAATTTTGTGAGATGTTCCCTAGAAAACTGGCTTCCAGTTTGAATTTCCAGAGGTCTGGAGGAACGAATGGGCAGCCATGAGCTCTTAGGTCCATGATTTCTGCCTGAAGCAGCTGTCCTTCTGCCCCACCAGTCTAGCCACTGTCCCTGTGTGCAGCCCTCTCTGCTCTTAAAGCTTCCGGATGCCAAAAGAATGTATGATGGCCTAGATATAATGCCTGGGACAGCAGAGGAATATTGGCTAGAAGGCAAGTGAGAAAGAAAGTTCACCGACAGCCTCTGAGTGGATTCTTCACAGCCCTGAAGCTGTGAGGAGAGCAACCCAGGGCACAGGGTGAGTGAGGACAGTGACCCTGTTCCTGCTTTCAGCCTCTCTCAGCTCACGCCTCCTCTCCCTCCTGGCTCGACTCTCCTCCCCTCTGTATTCTGCTGTGAGCAGCAGTTGTCATCACTCAGACCCAGGGATGTATTTGGCTCATGTGACTGGGGCATCCAGGTGATGATTTTCCAGGATCCGTAGGGGTGGAGGGGGAACACTGGGGGCTGAGGAAGCAGAACTTGGACGTCTCCCTGCCTCTTCTGCCCATTGTTTCCTTCATTTGCTTTGTCTAGAAACAGCAGGCCACACATGCTGCAGAGGGCTGTTTGTTATCACTGAAAGCTCTAAAAGGTTTGCCATCACTGCTCTAGAAGATGTCAGTTGGCACCATGGCTGTCACTACTGGCCAGATATTTAAGGTCCACAGAAGATATCTGTCACAGTGATCCTTAGCTACTGTCATTTCCTACCACCTTGGCCCACTGCTTTTTTAACAAATTGAATTCTTTTCAGGTTGGGTGTATTTAATTTTCTGAGCCTGTGCTAGGTGTGCCAAAGTGCAAAGAAGACTTGGTTTTATTTTTATTTGCATGATCAACTTTTACTTTGTGCAGCCAAGGTACAGGTTGAATTATGTCCTTCAAATCCATACACTGAAACTCTAACTCCCAGTGTCTGTGAATGTGAAGTTATGGTACAGTTTCTGGGAAAAGGGTCTACGCAGATTTAACCAAGTGGAGAGGATGTCATTAGGAAGGTCCCACTGCAATGTCTGGTGTCACTGGGAGAAGCTGTACAAAGACACAGACAGGAGGATGGAAGGGCTGCAGCTGCCAGCAAGGAACACCAAACACTGCTGGCCGCACCAGAACCCAGGAAGAGACAAGGCAGACCCGTCCTCCACAGGGTTCAGAGGCAGCATGGCCCAGCCTATACCTTGGTCTCAGGCTTCTAGCTTCTTAAACTGTGAAACAATTAATTTCTATTGTTCCGAATAACCCAGTTTTGACAGTTTGTTATGAAAGTCCTAGGGAAGGAAACTAAGAAAGGTAGAAAGCAAGTACAATTGGAGTCAGAACGAAAGCAAGAAAAGCTTCTTTTGTGGGTTAGTTTACTAATGTATGGATGGCACTATCATCATCATTATTATTATTGCTTGTGGTACCAGGGGTTGAACCCAGGGCTTTGTGCATGGTAGGCAAGTGCTGTATCACTGAGTTACCTTTCTGATTTTATTTTATTTTAGGACCAAGACTTATTATATAGCTCAGGCTGGCCTTGAATTAGCTAGCAATCCTCCTGGTGCAGCCTCTCGAGTAGTAGGTATCACAGGCTTGCACTGCTGTGTCCAGCTGGTATTAATTCTTTCTTTTTTTTTTGGTACCGGGGATCGAACTCGGGACCTTGCGCTTGCGAGGCCGGTGCCAGAACCACTGAGCTAAATCCCCGGCCCTGGTATTAATTCTTGATTAAAACAACCCAGAGTGGTTCCATATAGTCTTTTGGAAAAAAATTCATGTCTAGTTCCTTTAAGTATAATAGCCTTTGCTATTTAAGTAAATTCCCATCATATAATAGCCTGTGGTTTTTCAGTGTTCTTGATTAACTCTCGCTTGTTTTTCTTCACCCAACTGCTTTTCTTTTTAATTTATTTTGTCTTTTAATGTTTTATTTTATAAAATAATACAAATGCATGAATAATAATACACATTTCATCAAAATATGGAATCAAAAGCACTTTTAAAATACTAATTATTTATAATTAGTATTTTAGTCCAAATGGGATTCTCTCTCTCTAGCTCCACATTCTAAGACTCTGATTTACTCTCAGGGTGGTACTAAAATTTAAACCATGCCTTGCTTAAAATAATCAATTTCAGTAGTTTTCTGTATAATGCTGTTCTGTTTTCAAATAGCAAAAACAGGCAGGGATGACATCCTATTTTTCAAATCAAAAAACCACTTTTAAGGTCTTACAAATTGTAATAGGTACAGAGTGCTCCAAGTTTAAACATACATATCAAAACCCCTCACAAGTCACCCAGTTTTTAAGCATGAGAATATTCTATATGTTTCTCCACAATAACTGTCTCTATCTTATTACTCAATTATCTGAAAAATTGAAGAGTTTTTTAAGGAAGAGTCCCCTTGTACATTTAGTTGCTGGACAAATGGAAAGAATCTGGATATATGAATGTTTTTATTGACAAGAAATTTTATTTCTTTTAGAAGCCATTTCGGATTGTTTCAAGCCCTTCTTGGGAGTTAGGGGTTCAGCTTATGATCCATGCAGTGCATACCTGGCCACTCCTGTCTTGGAAGACACTGGAGTACATGGATCCAGTGTCAAAGTCAACACACTGTAAAAGGCTTTGCCCACTCATCCCTAGGGTGTTTTCCTGCCCTACTGACCCCTACAGCCCACACAGTCTGACCCTAGGTGATGATACAAGGAATGGACCACCTGAAGTACTGCATTTAACCGGAAGTACCTACTGGAAGTACTGTTAGGGCTACTTACTTGAGTGTGGTGAGCTCAGTGAGGGATGGCTGGGTGGCCTTGAGATAGCTCTCTCTCCGGGCAGCAACTTTGGGAGAAGGCTTAGGACTTGTGTCTGAATCTCCGCTGTCTTCGTCCCCCATGGCCTTGATATAGCTGCCACTGCGCATTCTTCGGCAAGGAATTTCATCATCTTTCCCTCGAGGGGTGTAGCCTGTCCAGTCATCCTGAGGAACCTAGTCAGACATAAAACACATAATTCATTTTTTATAAACTCCTACATTTTTCTTTTCTTTCCCTTGTGTGTATGTATGTCCGTCCCTGGATATAGGTAACAGTGATGATTATCAAAAACTTAAGATATTAACCTTTCATTAATAGCATTTTTCTATAATCAGTTTGAAAATATTTTTTACACATGCAAACCCAAGTCTCAATCTTTATAAAACACCTGAAGTGTTAAGAAAAATGAAAACCACTGGCTCAGATTCATTTATGCCTCTCAGTTTTCTCACAGTGATAACAGCTGAGTCAGGAATAAAAACGCCATGGGAATGGAAGCAGTTGTATTTGAGCCTTTTGGCGATTCATTTCTAAATGTCACTTAAGATTCAAGAATGTTTTATGATTTATCAATGCCTACCTTGAACTTTCCATCTTTACTCTCTCACAGGTAATCTCTCTTCTTAGCTAGTGGTCAATACCAGCTATGCCCACTTTCCAACTCCTTTTTCCAGTCACTAAGGCTTGCCAACCCCCTCTTAATTTAGACTCGGTCTTCGTAGATCTTCTGAAAGTTCTATCTGAAGGTTTCCAATGATGCCCTTATGGAATCTGGGTGCATTTTCTTGGTTTTTGTGTTTGTTGGCCTCTTTATGCATGCACACACACACGCACGCACACACTTGTATTGAGAACATCTCCCAGGAGCATTTTGGATTTTGGTTGCTCTACTTACCTGGCATAGCTACTACTCATCTGAATGATTCTTTTCATCTTGTTTTGCCGGGTGCTACCCTAAGTCCCTAATTATGAGGACCACAGAAGAGAACGTTGTTTCCCTTGCTCTGCTCCTTTTTTCTTGCCACAGTCATTTCTTCAAGTTGATTAGGGCATTACCCTCAGTTTTATAAAGCTGCTTTACGTATTTTTTCCCCTCAGTCCCTCTTAGATTTTCCACTTCAACATGGACTCAACTTAGTGCCTACTGAATTTCCTTCCTCCTCCACTTGGTGAAAAAAATGCATAGTGGCCACCCTGCCTGTCCAGAATAGTGCACAAAGTTAATTACAAGAGACCAAAAAAGGAAAGAGGTTGGTTCTTGCCCTCACCATGCTTATAACGGAGAAGACATAGTCTAAATAAATTTGGGGAGAATTCCAGATCAAATGGGAGCAAGATGAAGAGACACTAGAAACAGGTGTTACCAGTAGTGGTGAGGGGGAAGCAGTGTCCAGGGCTCCCTGGAATTGGCCAGACTGGCAATGAGAAGATGAAATGGTATTTAATATTTGGATGGTGCCTATTGACTGATTATCCATTATTTCATTTTTGTCGTGCAACTATGCTAAGCCATTTGCTTGGAGGAACTTATTTCACCAAGGCACCAACCACGTGCATTTTTCTGGGTTTCCCAGGGAGCTTAGGCAACTTTGCAAAGAATATACATCTTGCCAGCAGAAGCACTGGACATAAAGCTTCTCAGTCTAACTTTCAAAATCACAATCTAATAGATTTTATGATGAATAACATGTGAATTGCAACTCTAAAATGTTAAGAAAACTATCTACTATGATAATACACAGTGTAGACACAGATTTCTAAATATTATACATTGTATGGAATGGTGATAATGCTCCATTTAAGTTACAAATCTTGAAAGCTTATGATTTGAAAGCTTATATTTAGAAGCGTCAGATGGAAAAGACGCTACAATTTATGGACTCGGAAATAGAAGTTTGTCGGTTTTTATCCTGGGAGGTACTTAATAGTCTAACTTTCACTATGCAGCATGCTTACTTAATTAAAAAATTCTTTGTTATTCCTGTGTGCAGGTTAGGTTTTTTGTTTTTTTTTTGAGACAAGGTCTTGCTACGTTGTCCAGGCTGACCTCCCTGTCTCAGCCCCCCGAGTGCTGGGGTTATAGTTGTACACCACCATGCCTACCTTGCAGTTTGTTTGAAACGCTTTATAAACATTAACTCGCTTAATTCGTCAGCAGAGGGGTGCTATTATTATTACTCCCACTTAACAAATGAGGAAAGTCAGGTTTCTGAACCTTCCTCAAGTCTCAGCTCTGGCGGCCAGAGTGCCCACTATTCGATGGAGGTGCTCTTTTTAGGCAGGGAGTTTTAGCACCTTCAGGATGGAACAGCTGCCATCCTGGCCACCTTGTAACCCTTCACATTTGATCCAGTTGGCATTAACTAGTTAGGCTGATATAAAATGTCAAGCTCTTACGTTTTAGCTAAGAGGCATCAAAATCACTACAGTAACTGGGTTTCTTAGGAGATGGTAAACGCTGAGAACAGCCTTGTTTTCCTCCGACTCATCAGGTGACTCATCACCAGATTCGATCATGTTCGAAACTGCATTACTGGTTTAGCAGTTAATGACACTTAAACAATTAGCTCAGGATATGGAAGGTCAGAGATGATGAATCCAACCCTTGCCATTTCTCCGTGCTGATGTAGAATTCGTAAGTGTTGCTCTCTGGAAGATGTCAGAGACTAATGACAAACTGATTAGCTAATACTACTTACAAAAAAATAGCATGGAAAATTTCTGTTTAGCTTAGGGTAGAAACTCAGCCCTTTACAAGAAAAAGCCTGCAACTGTTGCTAAGGGAACTGGCTGAGAAGTATTTAATCTGTACACCTTTCAATTCAACAGCCTTTTCAAGTGATAGCAGCTACTGAGTTGTACCAAAGTGACTTCTATTGGAAAGGGGCATAAACACATTATTCATCTACCTGGAAGTAGCATACAACAAGGGTACCCAGAAAATAATACAGAGATCAGTTCTAGGGAAAATGGAAAAACACCAGAAATCATGAATTTGGAGACGCAAAACACAATGGCTGAACTGTAAGGGACAGTAAAATTGTGTTAATTGAGCCCATTTTTATTTTTAACTCCAAAGCAGAAGAGAGAAATGGCCGAGGTTCATAGTTTTAGAAGAAAGCACACTATTCTGTAAGGGGCCCAGAGAACGAGTCCCATCTCCCTTTTGACTGCAAGGAAAGGATATCTGTGGTGGCAGTTGCTACTGTGACAGAGTCAAAGGTGCTATGTCTTTGCAATTCAGAGAGAAGAGACTTGGAGAAATGTAAAGAAGAGGTTGTTGGTGATGGCAGTTTAGGCGGTCACAAGTGTTTGTAAGAAAGGGAAGCAGGGGCAGAGACAAAGGGCCTAGGTACTTGTTGGTATTAGGCAAGATGCCTGGCCCAAGCATCTTAGGAGGGAGTTAGAGGCAACAAACATTGAAGAACAAATAATAAAAGCAGTATAATAGAGGTTAAGTTTTACAATAGCCATGAATCAGAGAAAAGTGGTTGCTTGCTTTCTAATGCTTCTTTAGGCACTAATACTCCAACAGAGAGCTTTATTTTTGATAAAGTGAGGAATAGCGAACATTTACTATTTCAGACACAGCCAGTCTATGGCTTAAACCATGTGGCATTCTTCACAAGTCCAAAAGACCCTTGCTGGTCAAGGAATGACTGTGATCAACCGCCATCATCCTCGTGTTTCTGGTCAAGGGGGCTTCTTTTTTTTTAGTACTGGGGATCGAACTAGGGACCTTGCACTTGAGAAGCAGGCTGCAGAACCACTGAGCTAAATCCCCGGCCCTAAGGGGGCTTCTTAACTGAAATGTGACAGAGGGCTGCAGGCTACATAGAAAGGGAGGACATAGACCCCCCCCTGCCCAGGGCACGTGCTTCCGCCTCCTGTCTCCTATCCTGCCTCCCTCCCTTCTTCCTTTAGCTCTGCAGGTGTCCTTGACTGTCTATGTGCCAGCGCTGAAGGGTGCACATGCTGATCCCATTCCACGGAGTTTATATCCCAGAAGGGGAGCGGGAAGAGACAGACAGCAAAGAGGCACAGCCAGAAAAGGAGCAGGACATTTTCAGAAGCACACATACTAGGAGGGAGATAAGACAGGTGAAAGAGTGGGGGAAAGCCATGCTTATTCCATCGGTGGGGCTGCCATCATGTGGCCACCCTGGAGGAGTCAGCTCAGGGAGAGGTGGGGGCAGAGCTTCCCGGCAGGAGGCTCAGCCAGTGCCAAGTCTCCAGAATGAAAACAAGCATGGTGTCCTCAAGGCCCAGGGGTGAAATGCCAGGCCAGCATGGAGCACCAAGCCCAAGTGACAAGGGAGAGACAAGAGATGCAGGGGCATGCAGGTCTCTTAAGCTCATCTCAAATTCTCCTTCCAAGTAGGGCTCACCTCTCCCTACAACAGCTCCAGGCTAAATGGAACTTTGTGAAATCGAAGGCAAGGGGCTTGAGCAAAACATATGGTGAATGTTTAAATTTAAAAAATAGTATTACAGCAAAAGACGCTTTGCCATGAACTTCTCTCAGAATCCTCGTGCTCACTTTGAACACACTTATTCCATTGTTCTTGCCACTTTCTGAAGCAGTTCTGGAAGTTCTTTTTTGTGAGTTTCTTTTTGAGATGTGATCAAAAATACAGTGAATGCTGCTGCTGAGTGCTGGTAATAAAAACATGATGCTGTGTTCTCATCCACGTTACTCACTGGATGTGCCACCATGCAACTTCTGGCTCTTCCCAAAGTCAAAATGACCATGAAAACTGAACCTTTTTGCAGGAGATTGCAACATTGATTCTGCTCCAACCAGGCTGTAAGCAGTGCAGGTTGTAAAGAGTCAACTCCATAGTTGGCTTGTTTTGAGAAGTGAGTCTGGCCGAAGCCTATGTGCCGAGGTCAGAGTAACTCGCACCCAAATTCCGTTCCCACATCTAAAACCTTCTCCCTAGAAGAACAATGTTCTAATTCCAACCATACATTTTGTCTATTCTGTTCCTAATTTGAGAATGTTTTGCCTTGTCCTTTATGAGCCCTGCTTGCATTAGTCTCCACAGAAACCTCACCACTGCACATCCTCTCATGTACTCTTGGCCTTGCACGTAGCTTACCTTCACTAACTTCAGGGGTCTCTGGTACATTTTGAATTGATTAAAGACACTGAGTCAGGACAGTGCAACTA